ACTTTATTTAGACGTATTCCTTATTTAGATTTAATAGAGAAAGTTCATTTCAGGAAAAGGAATATTTTTAAGAAACCATCCAAGACACCTGTTTTGAATGGGAACAAGGAATATTCTCTAGTTTAATCCCAATACAAACCCAACATCCTCCTAACAGTGAAAGTAGTCAAATAAGGTCACCCTGCTCCTAGCTGAGCTGTGCTTCTTAGAGTAGGGGAGAGAGGAGAATAAAAGAAACCCAGAGAAGACCGGGGAAAATAGAATGAGAAACAGATGGTGTCTGATTTCTACACCGGAAACTTTTTTTTCTCTGGTTGTTTACCGTTTGTAATCTGAACCAAAAACAGAAGGCAGATACAACTGCCTTCAAGTGACACCTCACCAAACTGTTGGCTGGAAATCACACCAGCAATTCCCTCTGGCTTGGAGCAGAGGGAGTGGGGGCTCTGGGGTCTCCTACCCCCCACCCCACAAGTGTTCCTGGCCACAGAGTCCTGATGGCCGTGTTGCCTTTCAATTTAGGGCTTGGTTCGGGCTGACTGGGAAATTTTGATCGTAGGCACCTGGCCTTGCTTTGGACTCTGTGTGTGGTTTTCATACTCAGCCCGATCCATAACGATGAGTGCAAAGCCCCGGGTCCTAAATGCAGTGAGATGTACAGTGTGTCTTCTGGCTCTAAAGAGAATTCATCTATTCCAGATTCCAGTTTCACCTTTCCAGCCTGCCACCATACTGGCTTCTCAAATGCAACATGTCTAGAATTATTTTCTCAAACCCCTTTCCTCCTGTCCCCAAGTAAGTTTCTCTTCTTGAGTATCTAATTCTGAGATGGCATTTTCTTAGTGCTCCAGACTCAAACATTTCATTCACTTCCCACATCTAAGTCACTTCCAATCCTCTGGAAGGGGTAGATTAACCTCCAAAATACCTCTTGGATATAATTTTTCATTTTTAACTGCACTGACAATGCCCTATTCAAAAAATGTTCTCACGTGGTCTCTTGCCTGAGGGTTCCAGCCCTGGACAAGTTCACTTACAGGTTCAGTATGACCAAGAAATGACAACAGAACATTTTTGGGATAAAAGGGCTTATATACCTGGCTTTGTTCTCCTGGCCGTAGGCCGAGCACTGGAATCACGTCAGCATCCAGCAGCCTACAGGTCCTTAATCCACCTCTGTCTCTGCCTCCACCCAGAGCACTGGGTAGGGCTCTTTATATAGGGACTCAGTCAATAATAGCTCATTGCCTACAGGTGTGCAAACATTAGCCTAGCAGCAGGCCAGTTACATCAGCAATTAGGTTAGGGTCAGGTGACGATCCTGGCCACAGGAACGTCCATTCTCCTCATGCCTGGATTTTTGTAACATCACAGTTAGTCTTTCTATATCCCTGAAAACAGTGTGGAGTCTCTTATCAGGACTCTTCTGATCTGAAAAGCCTTCAGTGTTCCCCATCACTTACTGAGTTAAATACAGATTCCTTGGCCTGGTATGTGGGGCCCTTGAAACTCTAGCCTCCTTAGCTGGCTTACCCCTCACTATCCACCTGCCCCATCCTATAAGGAAACAGTTGAAGGCAGCTACTCCCTGCTCCCTTGCTTTCTCCTCCCACTCCTGACCTTCAGTGGACCTCGTCCCTCCCCTCCCACTCCCCCATCACCCCTGACCGATTCTTCAACACAGCCCCAAATAGCTTCCCCAGGGGACCTTTCATAGTGCTCCAGCCTAATTGAATCACTGCCTCTAAAATCCAACTAACATTTGATTCTACCTCTTACCACCATAGTTTTAATATTCCATCCTTTTTTTCCCCCCATTTTTATCTCATCCCTCTTTCTAGACTGTAAGATTCTTAAAAGGAAGCTTTGGCCTTTCCCATGTTCTACCAGGTCTGGCACAGAGTTGCCTGTGGTTGCCTTCAACAGACGTCTGCTGATCTTTCTCTCTCCAAGCTCAATTCCTTAAAACCCTTCCTTGGTTTCCCATGGCCTTCGGGGCATAGTCTAAAGTCCTCGACAGGGCCTAGGAGGCCATAGTGTGACCGGGCCCTGCCCACCTCCAGCTTCATCTCTCACCACCCACTACACCTTCTTCCTTCAGTTCCTGAACTCCAGGTCCCTGTTGGCCTCCTGCATCTACACCTTCCATCCCACTTGCTGGAAACACTCTCTCCTAAACCCTCTCATCTATCTCTTAGCTTAGCCATCACTCCCTCTGGGAGTCTTCCCTGAGCTCCTAAATGTGGCCCAGGCGTCCTTCCTATGGGTGCCCATGAGACCCAGAACTTCACAGTCATAGTACAGATCTCTCTGCACTGCAGGTGCCTGTTTACCTGCCTGCCTTCAGGAGTGTCAGCACACATCTGGAAGGCAGGGCCATGGTTTCATGCATCGTTGTGTTGAGTTGGAGCACAGTTTATGTGTGTTGCTGGTGGTGATGTGGGCGGGAGAAGTCGTAGTGTTTGCATGACATGAAGCTGCACAGGAAAACAGTGGCCACAGGGAAGAGGGCCTCGTTAAGGAATTTGACAGCATCCTGAAGGCAGTGGAGAATGCTTTGCGAGGGTCTTTAGCTGGAAAAAGGCACAAGTCTATTTCCCAATTGGATTTTAGAAATACCACTTTATCCACAGTGTAGATGATGGATGATAGCCAAGACTAACTCCTTCCCTCCCCTCCTTAACACTCCCACAAGACTTGCCTCCCGTGGGGGGCATTCCACATTCTAGATCTCTCCTGACTCCTGACCCCTGACCAAAGCTGACTGGCCCTAGGTCCTTCGGGTCTTGTTCTGTGGCAGCAAAACATAACTAATCTACTAATGTGCTCATAGGAGCCAAGGATTAGTCCTTCTAGATAAGGAAGCGTGGTACAAATGTCATGGTCTGGAGTCAGGACCCCTCAAGTTAATTTTTGTTTCAGTATAGCAAACCATGGGACCTTCGGTGAGAGGCTTCTGGCTCTATCCTTTATACAAGGTGGCTGTGAGGGTCAAAATCAAAATGACTTTGGGTTTTGGAGAGGAGAGAGATTTTTTTTCCAGCAAGGAGAGAAGGGGCATTAGGCAGGTTTCATGGCCTAAGTAGCATGTGAGCTGGGCAAAAACCTAGAGAGGAGATGGGGTGTTTAGAAGGTTTATCCTAGGGAACAGAAAAAAATGTTTAAATATTATCTCAAGCAGAGGTTTCAAGATTACTGTAGACTAAATATTCACATCCCTCAAAATTCAAATGTTGAAACCTAATCCCTAGTGTGATGGCTTTTGGGGGTAGGGTCTTTGGGAGGTGATTAGATCATAAGGATGGACCCTCCCCATGAATGAATCAGTGCCTTATAAAGGAGACCCCAGAGAGCTCCCGTGGCCCTTCTGTCATGTGAGGACAGCAAGAAAACAGCCTGTCTATGAACGAAGAAGTGGGCTCTCATTGGACAGTGGATATTCTGGCACTTCCTAGCATCCAGAACTGTGAGAAATAAATTACCGTTACTTATAATCTACCCGGTCTATGGTATTTCATTATAGTATCCAAATGGGCTAATACAGTTATGCAGGCAAGTGAGAGCTGGTCCCAAAGAACTTGTCTTAGAGATCCGGGTGTCCTCCGGATAGGACTCAAGTAATAATTAATTTTTACTGTTCTGGCTCCCTTTTTCTGATCCTCTCAGAAGCCCACCTTGTACTAACGCACTATTTTCTTCAAGTCCATTCCTAATTCAATTGATAACATAGCAGCCCTTTTAACATTAATAATGCTCTAGGCTCTTGCTTGGATTTGGGTGTTTTGCTTAAGTACAGGTGTAAAAAACCTATTTTAAGTGGACTAATTTGTGTATAGTTGAGCTCATATTTGTTCTGTTGGATTTGAAGTCACATGGTGACATTTTCCAATTCTGTCTTGTAACCTGGGGGAGGGGAAGGCACTGTACCACATTCAGGACCCATGGGCCTCTGCACACTCACTCTGGATGTGGCCAGGTATGAAAGCCAGGCACCTTCATTCACCTCACCAGTGGATATAAGTACCTCCTTCACTGCCCAGAGCACTGAGGAATGCTTCTGATTTTTCCAACAGTGTGCTTCTGAATTTTCCCGAGAAACTAAAGGTGACGTTTGGGCTGGGCAGGGTTAATGAACCTATTTGTAGATCACTTTTATACCACTTCTGCTAAGGTGCAAATTTCGTCAGAGAATTGTCCCCTTCCCCACTCACACTCAGCAGGTCTATCCTGAGACAGACAGAGGGAAAAAATCAAGGTCTGGAGTTCAGAATCCCCAGGGTGGAGCCCCCAGTTGTAGCCCTTACAAGCTGTGTGGCTGCAGATCACCTGTTCGCCTCACTGAACCAGCCTCCCACCTGCAAAATGGGTATAACAATAGCTGGAGTCTTCCGGGGTCTTGCATGGTGTCAGGGACATGGAGCAAGGTAAGCTGCAATGTGGCATTCAGACGCTCTTGATGTTGCCATTATTTCTTCCTTTTTCTCTTCTCTCCATTTGCATAGCACAAATGCCACTGAGTTAAGAAGAGAAGAGTTGAAGAAACTGAAGGACCAGGAGCCCTGGGGCAATTCATGATCAGAAACTGTGTTGGGAAAGATATTAGGGTGACCAGAGTAGAGGCTGCAGCCAGGTAAAGGAAAAGGAAATGCACCCTCCTTCCACCGTGCCTCCCTCCCTCCCTCGCTCTCCCACCTTCCTTCTCTCCCACTTGGTCAATGCCTTTGCGGTCAGGGAGGAGAGCAGGGAGAAGCGGCTTGCAGGGACGAGGGGACGTGAGTGGCACTGTGAGGCACTGGCATCAGTGCACGCCCCAGGGAAGAACCTGATGTCCGTAACGTGAGAAATGGCTAGAAAAAAATGCATGTGTGCTTGGGCGGGGGATGTGCACCTGACAGGCTGCCTTTCTGGAGCCCCCTCCCACCATCATGCCTTCTAGTCGTTTCTAGACAACACTAAGAATAGTTTACGGATACATGCATTGCAGTTTGCAAGGTGTTTCATTTATTTTCAACAACTTTATGCTGTAAGTAGTATTCCCTCCATGTTACAAGTGAAGAATCTGAGGCCCAGTGGTTAAGTGACTTGCCCAAGGTCAAACTACGCAGATGTGATAGAATCCAAACCAAATGTTACCCGCAGTGACTAAACCAGGGATCACAGCAGGACACCAGACCGCAAGCATGGATCTGAAACCCTGGGCCTTGCAAAGCAGGAAGGGGAAGCTGTGAGGAAGGGTGGGGAAATGGTTTTGTTTATCCCCCCAGCTCTGTCCCTCCCTCCTCTTGTCCTCTGCTCTCTCCAGAGTAGCAGTGGCCCACGCCACCCCGGCTGCCTTTCTTCTTTAGACCACAAAACACTTCCCACTTCACATCCTGCCACAGACCTAGAAGTGCAAAAGTCAACACAAGAAAAGGATGCAATTAAAGGAGTCAATTCCTGTCCCTCCCTCCCTTCTTCTCTCCCCTCCCCACACAGACCCAGAAGTGCAAAAGCCAACACATGAAAAGGATGCAGTTAAAGGAGTCAATTCCTGTCCCTCCCTCCCTTCTTCTCTCCCCTCCCCACAGCCCTCCTCCAGCGTGCCTTATGAATACAGCAAGCTTCCAAGCCCCTTCAGACTGACAGCCAAGGACAACTATTAGGGGGCCTCTAGAACTGGATCCCGTCCCTTCTGATGGGCCCAGGAGATTTGAAGTTGCCAGGCATTTCCAGATATTTACTTCTTTTCATTCCTTGCAGATCATTCTTGCAAAACCAGAAGCAGCTCTCCTTTTACCACAGGGAGCTGAGTAATTCACAAAGAACCTCCTCCCCAGGGTTTAATGAGAAAGAGCAAGAAATCTCAGGAGCTTGGAGGTGGCCGGGCTGGATTCGGTTTTCACCTGTACCTGTGCTGTTTTCCCTTTACCCGTCCTGCCTCCCAGGGAAATCTCGTATTACGGGGCGTCAGCAAGTCGGCAAGTTAGCTAGACCCAATCCCACTGCAAAGGATGGCTCCTCTCCACAGCAATCATATGCCAACCGTCCTCCCACTAGGGGCCGTCTGACTTTAAATATTGTGTCTGTTAAATAGAAAGACACAGTCCCAGCACGGGGTTTCTTCTGCTAGCCTAAGTCACCAAACTGGAGCTTAATACCTACTTGTAGTTTCAACCTTTCCCAGAAATACAGACACTCAGGAATTTTCTGGTCAGCCCGATCAGATGATGTCACCTATGCCCTCTCCATCCCCAAGGAAGAGGAGATCATCCGCCTCATGGGACCCTCACCGCGTTTCCTCTCACACACACACAGAGCACCGGAATGTGTATGGCACGATCCCTTAGGACACTAACTAGATGTATGCATGCCACGCTGCTTGATGTACTGATAAATGTAACCTCTTATCTGCACGCATCCCGTGCTACAGAAGAAGTATTTAAGATGTCTCCAAAGTTTATCAGAGCATGCCGATGGGCTGCTTGTCAGGGCATGGTCCTTAGGAAAATGATGAATAAACTCTGTCTTTCTTAAATGTAACAGTCGTGTTGATTTCAGTTGACATGTCTTATTGTCAGTTCATGTGAGCTGATGATGGGTTTAGAAAACAAGGTCACCTCATTTACATGTGCCGCACACCTTCCCCTGGGGCCTAGCAAGGCCTGTTGCCCATCATATGTTTCCTGGGGAAGCAAACCAGGCCAGTCGCATCCCTTTTGTCTTCAGTTTTGTCCTGTGTGCTTAACATCCCCTTTGAGCCTGTAGGGACTTCGTAGTGAGGAGAGGCTAAGAAGATGGAAGAGGCCTAAATGGACATCCACAGTCTAAGTCCTTATAAATGACGTCCTTGCCCTCAAGGGGTTCTTACCTGGAGAGTGCCTCCCTTGAATCTGAGCAGTCATTTTAAGCATGCCATTAAAGGTGATTCCCAATTTCCCATCTGCCAAATGGCAACAATACTGCAAACTTCCCAAGACTGGTGTGAGACCATCAATGCGGTCACTGATAGCACCAAGTTGCTGAGCATAATCCCAGTCCGGTGCTCGTCCAGTTTCAGGCTCTTAGTAGGACTTCACCAACCCTGCCCAAGAATGAGAACATACGGGCATTGGTTATAGGAGCCCATATATACACGTCAAAATCCACCAAGCCATTGGACACTAAAACTTGTGCGTTTTACTGTATATACCTCAATTTAAAAAGAAAAAGAATAAAAAAATAAAGGGACATAAGAAAGAGTGAATGACTAAATGAATATAATAGTTCATTGTCAGTATACTAAGAAAAGTGATGGGTTACCTCACCCCTCACCTTCTGGAGGATTTTATAGCCTGCAATGTACATGTATGCATCACCTTATTTTAATCTTCACACCCCTCCAAGAAGCTTTTTTTTTCTCTCTTAGCAGATGAGGAATAGGGGTTCCAGACTTGCCTGCAGTGACTGTGGTGAGAGGTCACAGAATGGGACCTTGAACTCAGGTCTTTTCCATCTAAGCTCTGCACCACTGGTGCTTCCCTCTGGCATGCCTACCCCTGCTAAATAATTCAGGTCTCAGCTTCCGTATCACCTTCTCTGTGCCCCCAAAGTGCCCTCCTCCCTTCGGGCTCTTTCCTGTGCACCTGTTTTATTATTTTCTTTACCTCTTTTATCACGACCACTATTTGACATCATCTTGTTTGTTGCTGTTCCGAAGTCTGTAAGTTCTTCTATGTGCCTGGCTCTGTGTTGACTTTGACCTTCATTCTTTATATAAACAATCACAACAGCCTTATGAAGTTAGTAAACCCTCTTATCTCTATTTTACCTATGCAAAAACTGAGGTTTATAGAACTTAAGTTACTTTCCAAGTTTAAACAGTAGCTGCAAAGTTACACTAAGCAGAAGAGTTCAGCTATTTGACTGCAATGGCCACACTTTTCTATTCTGTGCTGGTGTCTCCTAAAAGTGCTGTATGGTTATTTTTTAGGCTAAGGGTGTTGTTGTGGTGGTGTTTTCAGAACTGATGTATAACATCTATAACATCTCAAGGAAACCGGTAACATCCTAGCAGCTATACCAACTTTAGGTGGACTGAGAATTACTGCAATCATGATATAATTGATAGGTACAAATTAAAGAATGATTAGGGTATCTTTTCAGACCATTGGAGATCAGCAGCAGTAGAGCCTCACTAACATCTGGCTTGAAAATGCATGTTCTTACTCTTCTCTACAAATTTCACTGAAGATCATTTCCCCAAGAGCACACGCTGACTGGTCCTGAGGAGGAGGTGGCCCAGATGTGTATTTGTGGAGGGGCAGCGGAAGTGAAAGGAAATTAACAATTTAAAACCTGCTGCTTATCACCTATCAAGCAAATACTAGAGTTGACTATGAATGACTGGACACAGAACGTGGCTTTGAGTTTCTGGTACTTCTGACTGTGTTTCAAGGAAATATCTTAACTCTAGGCCTTGCTTTTCTCAAATGTAAAATGAAGAAAGGAAAACCTTATTTAACAGGGATGTTGTAGGGATTAAATTGAACAATTCATGTGAAAGACCTGGTGTGCAAGTAAACTCTAATCCCTGGCCTCTCTCCCTTGTTCTTTATGATTTATTGGTGCCTATGTGAGCTATGAGCATAAAATAAAAACAAGATCGATGTTGCAAATAAGTACACTGGAATACAAACATCTCCATGAATGCTGCCCCCCAGCGTAGCGGCCCGGCTTGGTAAGCTACCCACTGCCTAAGTATGCTGTGTTTGTTCAGAACATTTCTGGAATGCTTCTCTCTACCAGTCAGACCTCTATGCGGAAGACATTCACAGGGAATGAAATCAACCATTTGATATTCATCCATCATGGATTGTCTCTCATCCAGAACAAGTGAATGGGCGATTATTTTCAAAGCAGATCGACAGATACGAAGCAAGCCACAGCATGGGCGCCGGTTAACAGAGTAGCCATTCAGCCGTCGGATGAAGTATCCCTCAGCTTCCCAGAAGTTTTTCCAGATCTGCTCGGAGAAGCACTTGTTGGCAACGTCACCAGTAGCCACTTTCTAACTGGGGAAGTGGGTTGGCTCTGAAGGACAGCCTGTGTTAGTCACAGGGGGGCAAGGGATGGGAATGTCCCTGGGGACATAGGGACCAGAAATAGACTTAGAAATATCTAGAGCATTCTTTTCTCTAGAGAAAGGTTCACTAGCTTTAGTGAGGTGGAGTAGGGTGGCATGTAATAAGGCTGATGTGGGAGGGAGGCCGCCCCATTTGAGGCTACAGCACTGCGCTGGAGATGGTGTCAAGAGCCTTATTTACAGAAAAATTTGCTTTGACTGTGGGCATCCTAAAGAACTACTCTGCTTAGATTTCAAAAGCCAACCACGTTGATGCTCCGAACTAGGGATTACTAGCTAGTTCTGTGGATTTATGAGAAGCCTGAGAGGTGAGGTGAAAGAGGAAAAGCTCACAAGCAAATAACCCAGCAGCAAGGGCAGCTCTGAGGTTGTGGGGATCTTGCTGCTTGCACTGGGGACTCTTCATGGGAAGCAAACCTGCATCTCCAGTTTCATCCCCGGCCATGACGGCTCTGCTTCAAGGCCGTAGACCATCTCCTGCTGGAGTTTGCCTTCTTTTGGGCAAATGCACAACTGCTACTGGGAGAAACCCAAAGTCCTTTATAATTTGAAAGGCTTAACTGCAATTCATTCTTTTTAATTGGAACATTTTTTTTCAAACCCACAGGAAAGTTGAAAGAATAATACAACAAATACCCATATATCCCTTCACCTAGATTCACAAACTGACAAATTTTCACCATACTCACCTCACTTGGCATATATGTATACCTTATACGCGTACATACACATTTATACGTACACTTCTCTTTATCCAACCATCCCAAACTAGGCTTCCCATATCATGACATTTCGCCCTTAAACACTTCAGCTTGCTTCTCCCAAGGACAAGAGCATTCTCCTACATAACCGCAACACCATGATCACCCCTAGGGAAATCAACAGTACAATAAATCACCAATGTTGAGTCCAAACTCAAATTTCCCAAACTGTTCCCAAAATGTCCGTCATAGCAGATTATTCTGGGATCCAGAATCCAGGCGAAGTCTAGGCTCTGCATTTGGCTATCACATCTCTCTACCTTTCTCCAGTGTAGACTGCTCCACTGTCTCATTCTGATGTACACAGTACTGGGTCCTTTAATGAGCCTAGGCTACTTGTCCTGAAGAATGTCCTAAAGAATATCCCACATTCTGGATGAATGACTATTTCCTCGGGATTAGATTCAGGTGATATTTCTGACAAGAGCACTGCATAGGCTGTGATGTGCATCTTCTACTGCATCTCATCTCAGGAGACACAAGTTGGGCCACTTTGTGATTGGCAATGCCAAGGAGGAGCTCTGGGTTAAGGTGAGACTACCATTGTCTCCACTGTAACAGTATGTTTCTCTCCCTGCTATTGTAAATGATCTGTGGGTGAAAAACGGTGAATATCCTATTCCCCAACAACCATTTTACCCAATGGCTTCCACGTCCATTAGTGATTTTCAGCTTAATCTGCCATTACATGGAGGGCTACAAAATGGGGATTTTTCTAATTCTGTCATTGTTTCTACACTTATTTGTTAACACTGTTTTATAAAGAACAGTTTCCCCCATTTCCCTCCCCACCTTTTTTTCTTCCCCTTGTCTTTTAAAGTGTCACTATGTATTTATGGATTTTTTTTTTCATTCACCTGCTATAATCTAATATCATCATTTAGGGTCAAGAGATGGGGTGATCACAATGGATTTTCTGTGAAGGGAGCACCTTCAAGTGGCCTCCGGGATCCTTTCTATATAACCCTATTTATCTTGGGGCAGTTTCCTACTTTGTGGTACAAGATGCTCTAGGCCGACCTGTGCTTTCTTTGCCTCTGACTTGGAATCAGCATCTCTCCATGGAGCCTGATGCTTTTTAGTAGGACATTGTACTTAGAAACCAAAATCTAGGTGCTACGTGTGCTCTCAACTTCAGTTTTACAATGCAATTTTAAACCAATGTGTTTCTAGGCTTCTGCTACCCATTCCTGGGATTACTGAGGCATTATGAGGGCTGACAACAATGTATCATGACCCCAAAAGACAGTTAAACCTTCTTTCTGAGATAATCTACATTTTGATCACCTCTCAGAAGCTGAGGGGTGATCCAAGCCTTCATTTGACCTTACCCAAGAGATTTGTCTACACTGCATTAAGTAACTTGCCCTACCCTCCTAAAAGTACCAAGTCATAAGACATTTTTGAACCCCACTGAAGAAAGAGAGAAGAACATTACTAAATCGGCTTTCACTTCCGAAAAACCCGGATTTAAACACTGATTTACTCTCCGGTGTCACTGTATTTTCATGGATGGATGGGCACATTGTATAAATTTTCTGAGCTGAAAATTTAAGTTTCTAAAAAGAAAAAGTTATTTTTTCTTGTCCCTGGGAAAAATATATTTCATGTAGTTTCCTCACATTGCTTTGTTTTCCTAGATGGATAATAAAAAAGGTATTATACTTGAAAGTGCTAGAAAATCGCAGAGAGCTACGTAAACACAATTGCTAAAATAGAAACTAGAGAATGACATCTTAGGTGGGCAGAAGTGACAGAGGTAAATGAAGGGAGCAAACTCAGTATCCGGCTCTTTAATTAAGTCTCTGACTGAAGGGACGATTTGGACTTGGGTTCTTTTCTCCTCTCTGACTTCCCTTTACAGGAGCTTCTAACTAATGAACAGAGAACAGGTCCTGAGAAGATTTCAAGAGTGGTGGTCTGGAGGCTCCGGCCAATGCCCCACTAGACACTCAGCCCCAGGAGCACCCATGCTTAGCCTGCTGGGAGGACAATGACTAATGTAAAAGCCAGGGCCTGCAAGAGGGGAGCCTTTTGTCATTTAATGACACAGGTTTACCAAAGTGCTATTCCCACTGAACATTGTGGGTTCGCTCAAATATCACCTGTCTTCCTGGCTCAGGCCAGCCCATTCAAGCGGGGTCCTTCTGGAACTTGGAGTTACTCACAGCACTCTCTGCATCAGAGACACGAACTACG